AAACCATTTCAGGTGACTACCTCTTGAAGCTCATGGAGAGAATGCCAAGAGTGTGCAAAGCAGTAATCAGAGCAAAGGGTGGCTATTTTGAAGAAACTAGAATATAAAACATGTTTTCAGTTATTTCACCTTTTTTTGTTAAGTACATAACTCCACATGTGTTCATTCATAGTTTTGATGCCTTCAGTGAGAATCTACAATGTAAATAGTCATGAAAATAAAGAAAACGCATTGAATGAGAAGGTGTGTCCAAACTTTTGGCCTGTACTGTATATCCATACCTTTAGGAAACTGTCTCCAGGTCCGCCCCAGGTCGCTTCCAGGACGAAACGATTTACGGCACTCAGACGGCACACGTCATCTTACCTAGCTGTTTACATTTATAGTGTCTCTTTTAAATAGTCGCTATTCCTCCTCCTCGACCCGACGTCCGCGGCAGAGCATGTGAGCGGAGCGGACCGGGTGAAAATTTCCGCTCCTCGCTAGCAGACCTGTCACTTTGCGCCGCTCGTCTGCTCCGCTTGGTTCTGCGCATTCTTCGCTCTGCTCCAGTCCACTCCATCAAAAATTTTATCCCAGCCGACCGCTGCGTTTACCCTGGAGGTGGTGGCGTGCGCGTCTGGGTGGAACTTTGCCGTGTGCAATGCAGAGAGCGTAATGGTAGGGGAAATACTGGTAAACACTGTATAATGGTATGAACAGTTGATGCATCTGTGTATTCTGAAATGTAATTAGGAATAGAAACCAATATTCAGAATATGTTTGGACATGTTGGGGTTAGAATAATAATTTAATGATAGTAACATTATAGAATGCTGGGAAAGAATGCTTCCCACTTACTGCTGTGTTTCTGGTATTTTCTTTAGGAACTGAAGAAGGAATCCAAAGACGTCAAGGAAACAATGAGTGAGCCAAAAGAGGAAGCCTCTCAGCCTCCGAGGAGAGAGAAGAGTGCAGGAAATGTGGCCAACCTGGTTCAGAGGATGAGCACTATCGGCATCCCAACTGGTGGCTTCCTGCCTCAGCCACCAGCCGCTGCAAAGAGTAAGATGCTGTCCTTTTGTTTGGGTGAAAGATATCTGTAAATACAATGCTAAATTCCAAAAAGTTGGGACACTATGTGAAACGTGTATAAAAACAGAATGTGCTGATTTGCAAATCCATACACTACTGAGACAATTTATTCAGTGTTCAGACTGATACTGAATTTTGTTGTTTGTTGTAAATATACACTTATTCTGAATTTGATGCTTGTAGTACATTCCAAAAAAAGTCTGGAGCAGGGCAATAAAAGACAGACAGGTGTGGAATGCTCTAAAAACACCTTTGTGGAACATTCCACAGGTAAACGGGTTAATTGGTGTTAGTATTATGATTGGGTAAGTAAGTCGTGCCATCAAAATACTTAGTTGTTCACAAGCAAGGATGGCGTGAGGTTCACCAGTTTGTGAAAAATTGTGTGGGCAAACAGACAGTTTAAGAACAATGTTTCTCATCACACAGTTGTGTGGGCGGCTATGGCTCAGAGATAGAGTGGGTCGTCCACCAATCGGAAGCTCAGCGGTTTGATCCCTGGCTCCTCCAGCCTATATGTCGAAGCATCCTTGAGCACCAAATTGCTCCCGATGGCTGTTCCATTGATGTGTGAATGTGTTAAAAACTGAGTAGCATTTGGCACCTTGTATGATAGCCTCGGCCACCAGTATATGAATGTGTGTGTGAATGGGTGAATGTGACTCTCAGTGTAAAAAGCGTTTTGAGTGGTCGGATGACTAGAAAGGCGCTTTACAAGTGCAGGTCCATTTACCATTTATCAGAGAATTCAGTGATTTCACATTACATTCTCACATCTGCAATCCATAATGTCATCAAAATTTTCAGAGAATCTGGAGGAATCTCTGCATGTAAGGGGCAAAGCTGTAAACCAACAATGAATGTCTGTGACCTTTGACTCCTCAGACTGCACTTTGTTAAAAACCGACATGATTGTATAAAGGATTTACTACATGGGCTTAGGAACACTTTTGAAAACTACTGTCACCCTGCTGTAGCGGTCGCAGGTTCGACTCCCGCTTGCGACCATCTCTGCATGTCACCCCCCCCCGCTCTCTCTCACCCCAGATTCACTCTGTCCTGTACATTAAAGGCAAAAAAGCCTGAAAAAATAATCATTAAAGAAAAAAAAGACTCTACCATGCAAAGTGACAGCCATATGTCAACAATATCCAGAAACACTGCAGGCTTCTCTGAGCCCGAGCTCATCTGAGATGTACTGACACTATGGTAGTGCCCATGGCATCATGGGTAACTTGCATATCTGTGAAGGCCTATAAATACTGAAAGGTACAGACAGGTTTTGGAGCAACACATGCTGCCATCTAGACAATGTCTTTTTCAGGGACGTCCCTGCTTATTCCAGGAAGACAATGAAACACATTGATTTTTTTTTTTTTGGCGTTTTTGCCTTTAATTGACAGGACAGCGTCAGTGTGAAAGGGGGAGAGAAAGAGGGAACGACATGCAGCAAAGGGCCACGGGCTGGAGTCGAACCCCGGCCGCCGCGGCAACAGCCCTGCTCATGGGGCTCCCGCTCCACCCACCAATCCACCAACGCCCCACAATGAAACACATTCTGCACGTGTTCCAACAGCGTGACTTTGTAGTAAAAGAGCATAGGTACTAGACCGATCTGCCTGCAGTCCACACTAGAGGTTGACATGTTTTTCGGGAGTCCCACGGGTCACGGGATTTCCGTGGTATTCCCACCAGATGGGAATCAGTTTCACTATTCGTCTCGTGATTGGGACGGGATGGGGAAAAAAGTCAACGGGAGCAGGCAGGACTGGGAATCATAATTAGGCCTGTTGCAATATGCGATAAGTCGGTTAATTGCACGGTAAAATAAAAGGGATTAATTGCCATATTCATGCGTGTTTGTTTTCCTCGTCTCTCTCCACCAAAGAGACTGGACGACAAGAGCATTCACTGCTGTGCATCGTCTGGCAGCCAGGTGAGTTGGTTCATTAGTGTAATGAACGGAGGGAAAGCTCTTGTCATCGAGTGTCTTTGTCTCTGTGGGGGTGGCGGGGCTATGGGCTACACACACACAGTGCGATCTTTGTGAGGGGGAGAGGAGGCGGAGAAAAAAACAGAGTTGAGCGCAAGAGAAACACAGGGAACTTGTTCCTAAACCAAATGCCATGGCCCCTGTATGGGAGTGTTTTGGATTTAAACCAAATGACAAAGGGGAGCCCAGTAATTTGGACGAGCCGTTGTGCCGGGTTTGTTCTAAAACCATCTCAACAAAAAGAGCGAATATGACCAACTTAACTGCATACCTGAGAGTGAGAGACTGAGAGTCTATTTTCTTTGTATGTATTTATTTATTTCAATATTTTTGTGTTACTTCGGATATTTAAATTTTCTTTTTTGTATTCCTAAATATTCTTGTTACATTAATGTTTATTTCTCTTTAAAAGGAGTACTTGCATCATTTTGCCTTTATTATCATTATATAAGTTTAAAAAATGGTCCAAAAACAACAAAATTACAACAATAATAAAAATGGTCTTAAAAGCACAATATTATGCAATATTATCACTTATCACAATAATTTCTGACGCATTTAATCGCCCAGCAAAATTTGTTATCGTGACAGGCCTGATCATAATAAAAATAGTCAAATTTTTATAAAGTAGTTGAAACTAGCTCCACCTCCAGCAGCTACAACAGTAACATGCTCTAACACTGATGCTTCAGTATTAATAATCTAATGATGTCATATATAATAATATCAGTCAGAAGAACCAAACAGTACTTTTACTGCAATACTTTAACTACATTTTTCTCTCTCAGAAGTGGTTCTTATGATGTGTTGTCTGACCACATCAGAAATCAAATGTGTTTATCATTCTGAACAGCTTCATGGTGGAGTGAATGTAAAAATAACTAGAAAAGCACTCGGAGAGCGCAGACCTCCCCCAAGCAGCTCAGATTTCCTACCATTTTATTATTTTATCCACTTCGCTTCAACCAATCACCACCACAATGTTATCATCTGTTCCTTGTCCCATTATCAACTTTTCCTGAAAATCTCATCAAAATCCGTTCAAAACTTTTTGAGTTACTTTGCAGACAAACAAACAGACACACTGACCAATGCCGGCGAAAACATAACCTCCTTGACGGAGGTAATTAGTCAATACACATCAAACACAACATTAGATGTCATATTTGGGTTTATATTCAACTAAGGTAGGCATTGTGTGATCCATGTATTGTATTTTATTTTTTTTGCATAATTTGGACATGTTCACTGTGGGGTGTACTCACTTATGTTGCCAGATGTTGATGGCTGTGTTTTGAGTAATTTTCAGAGGAAGGTAAATCTATACTACTATACAAGCTGTACACTGACTACTTTAAGTTATATCAAAGTGTCATTTCTACAGTGTTGTCCCATGAAAAGATAAAATGAAATATTTGCAAAAATGGGAGGGGTGTACTCACTTATTTATTTATTTATTTTTTTTAAGATTATTTTTGTGGGCTTTTGCCTTTAATGACAGGACAGAGAGTGAAATGGGGAGACAGAGAGAGAGTGGGGAATGACATGCAGCAAAGGGCTGCGAGTTGGATTCGAACCCGCGGCCTGCTGCAGCGAGGCAATGCCTTTGTACATGGGGCGCCGGCACTATCCACTATGCTACTGATGCCCCGGGTGTACTCACTTATATGAGATACTGTAAGTACCTGGGGGTACACATTGACAATAAATTGGACTGGGCTAAGAACACTAACGCTCTCTACAGGAAGGGCCAGAGCCGTCTCTATTTTCTGAGGCGACCGAGGTCCTTCAACATCTGCTGGACTATGCTCAGGATTTTCTATGAGTCTGTGGTGCCAGTGCTATCCTCTAGGCTGTTGTGTGATGGGGCAGCAGGCTGAGGGTGGCGGACACCAACAGACTCAACAGACTGATCCCCAAGGCCAGTGACGTTGTGGGAACGGAGTGTGACTCTCTGATGGTAGTGTCAGAGTGGAGGATGCTGTGTAAGCTACTAACTATCTATCATTCCTGCCTGTCAAACTGTACAAGTCCTCCCTCTGAGTGGCCCTGAGACTTTTTCACACACTGCAATAATCTAATGTAACTTGTGTATGTGTATATATATATATATATATATATATATATATGTATGTGTGTATGTGTGTGTGTGTGTGTGTGTGTATACAGTACAGGCCAAAAGTTTGGACACACCTTCTCATTCAATGCGTTTTCTTTATTTTCATGACTATTTACATTGTAGATTCTCACTGAAGGCATCAAAACTATGAATGAACACATGTGGAGTTATGTACTTAACAAAAAAAGGTGAAATAACTGAAAACATGTTTTATATTCTAGTTTCTTCAAAATAGCCACCCTTTGCTCTGATTACTGCTTTGCACACTCTTGGCATTCTCTCGATGAGCTTCAAGAGGTAGTCACCTGAAATGGTTT